AAAAAAAAAAAAAAAATTTCTTTGAACCTTAAGTTCTCCAATAACTTTGACTGACTTAATCAATAAACTTAATCCTGAAGTTGGCCATTAAATTTGATACATGTACTGTATACTTTACTACATGTAAGATACTTTTACAATCTGAAGGTAAAAGATAAATTGCCTTATATAAATGGTATTGGGACAACTGCATATCCACATAAAAATGAGTAAAATTGTACTCTTACACCATATATCAAGAAACAACTCAAAACGGATTAAACACTTAAAAGTAAAACTTGAAATCATAAACCTTTTAGAAGAAAAGGGAGTGAGCTTCTAGACACTGAATCAGGCAATGATTTTTTAGACACAATACCAAAATCATATGCAATAAAAGTAAAAATAGGATTACATCAAACTAAAAAGGAAAGGAAACAACAAAATGAAAAGGCACTTTATAGAATGAGAGAAAATATTTAAAGACTGTATATACCTTTTTTTTTTTTCTTAATGTATTTGGTACAGGGTCTCACCACAAAGCTCAGACTCCTAGTTATCCCTTTGTCTCCAGACTCCCCAGCGCTGGGATTACAGGCATGTACCACCACACCTGGGGTCAGTGGCCGGCTCAGTATGCCCAGGCGTGGGGCCAGCACAGATTGAACCCTGGTCTCTGAGCTTGCCTAAGCAGGCATTTATTCTGCTGAGCTATCTTGCCAGCTGAAGACCACATATATCTTAACGTAAGGAACTCCTACAACTCAGTAGCAAATAACCCAATTAAAAGTGTTTAATACCTCTATAGATATTTCTCAAAAGAGAATACAAATGACCAACAGACACATGAAAAAATGTCCAATGCTGTTAATTACTCAAGAAATATAAATTGGAACCACAATAAGATATTGCCACATACCTGGCAGGATGGCTATTATCAAAAAACAAAGGATAACAAATGTTGGCAAGGGAATCAAAAAAAGGGAACCTCTTATGCTGTTGAGTAAAATATAAGCTGGCATAGCCACTAAGCAATCTGTAGGATCCTGAAAAATTTTACTTTTTTAATGTTTTTGTGGCCAGCTCAGCCCACCCTGGGGGCGGGGCTGGCGCAGCATGTGATGCCAGGGTTCAAACTGCAGTCCCTGAGCACTTGCCTAAACTTGCATAAGCAGGCCCTTTAGACCACTGAGCTATCTCACTGGCCCATGAAAAATTTTTATTTTATTTTATTTTTTATAATTTTATTGAGAAACAAATAGCAATGAGACAGTTTCAAAACCGATTAGTAGGACAGTTTCAATAATTAATACATTGCATATTGTTGTATTCTTAGTGATTATTCATAGTACAAGATGCAGACATGATATCCTGTCCATAAACACTATTAGTACAAATCTTTCTATTCACTGAATTAAAAGAAAGTAGCTGTATATCTATCCTAACTATTTGGAATATACAGATACAAAATGGTCCTTCATTTGTATCCTTTTTTTGTTGTTGTTGTTTAGTTTTGTCAGAGATGGGTATTCCATTGTCATTTAAATATTGTGGGTGCATGTATTCAGCAAAATATTCCAATACAGTCCAGGAGTTCATAATAGTAGTGGGTTATCCATAGGACTGGCAATGTCAGAAGTTGTTGACTTGAGCCTTTTATAGCTCAGTGTATTAATATGACTTTACTTTTTATAGTTTATTTTTATACTTTTCTTTTGGATGGTTAAGACCAAGATAAAGCAAGACCTACATAACAAGAAATGTAGCTTTTGTATCTGACAAGGTCAGTCAAATCCCCTCAGGATTTAGCCTGAAACCCTGTACTGCAGTTTGTAGAACCTTTGTCAGTGTCAGCCATGTGGATGAGTCACGGCCATTGCTTGGCCAATGTGCTCTCTGTGAAAGTCTGAGAGAATGTTTTCTCTCCATGTGACTCTCCTTAGGCACACTCATCATCGATCACTTTCCTCTTTGGCCCCATAATCTCCTTGATCAGAAAATTGGGACACAACTGAGTTACATGATGTTACAGTACAGGTTCTCCTATGTCCTGCGTCCTCACTGACCTTGAAAGGTGAGGGCCAAAATGTTGGCTGTCCTTGCAGCCCTTCTTTTTCTCTAATTTTTGGTCTGCAAACTTAGGTTGTTAACTCTCCAGAAGAGAAGCTTATGATTATCACCCTACAACATAGGCAGTTGAGCTTAACCTCACTATCTGTCTCAATATCAAACATCTTAGGCATAACATGGAACAGGTATTTTTCCATCAAGTACTGATATGTTAAACTTTAAGTCCCTACAGAATATGGAGAAAAAAATTAAAAAATTTAAAAATATTAGAAAAAATAGGAATAAACAGTTACATAGTTTTACACTGAAATTTAGAAACCTAATCATATACAGCATTATAGCAGGACAGTCCTGTGGCATTTTTTTCTTGTCTTTTGTTTTCATTTATTACCTCTCTTTTTTAAAAAAACAAACATTTACTTGAGAGATAGTATGGCAGTAATTGGTATGTCATGACAAGCAGTACGTATTTAGAAGACCAGAATGACAGGCATTCCAAGCATGACCCTACCATTACACATTGCTATCTTCAGTGCAGTTGCTTAGTTCACAGGTATCAGCATATATAGCTAGCCAGGGTGAGAATCCTACCAATTAACTGCTAGTTTCAAAAACCTGCTGAAGATTCTAAAGATTTTTTTTTTTTTTTTTTTTTTTTTGGTGGAACCGGGGATTGAACTCAGGCCCTTACGCTTGCCAGGCAAGCACTTATTCTACTGAGCCATCTCCCCAGCCCCCCTGAAAAATTTTAAATGGAATTACTATCTGATCCAGTAATCCCCTTGTAGACATAGATAGATAGATAGATAGATAGATAGATAGATAGATAGATCCAAATGAGTTGAAATCAAGATCTCAAAGGAGTATCTGTATGCCTGCATTCACAGCAGCATGCTCCACAATGGCCAAGATATGGAAACAATTTAAATGTCCATCAATAAATGAATAAAGCAAGTATGGCAGATACATATGGAATATTATCCTTTTAAAAAAAGGATATCTGCATTTGAACAATATGGCAGACCTGCTAAGTGGAAAGAGAAATAGACAAATTCTCTATGATCCCACCTACACATAAAAAAAGAAACAAGGAAGTATTGAACAAAGGATATAAAGTTTCACTTATACAAAATAAGTTCTGGAACCTTGTACAACATGGGGCCTATAGTTAATAATACTGTGTTGAATATATTAAAATTTGCCACAAGCATAAATCTCATGATTTCTTGCCATAAAAGAAAAAGGGGATAGGAGAAAACTTTTGGAAGTGATAAATAAATTTAGGATATTGATAATGATGATCAGTGGAAAGTTTCCTAGGTATGTACTTATCTCCAAACCTATCAAGTTGCATGTATACATTACTGCTTTTTGTATACTAATTTTACTTCAATAAAATGGTTAAAAAGTAAAAAGCTGGGCATGATGGTGCATGCCTGTAATCCCAACAATTGGGAGGCTGAGGCAAGAGGATTGCTGTGAGTTTGAGGCCAGCCTGGGCTACATAGTAAGTTTAAGATCAGCCTGAACTACAGAATGAGACCTTATCTCAAAAAGCAATAAATAAATAAATAAATAAATAAATAAGGGGCCAGTGAGATAGCTCAGCTGTCTAAAGTATCTGCTTAGGCAAGCTTAGGCAAGCACAGGGATCGCAGTTCGATAACTGGCACCACATGCTGTGACAGCCCTACTCCCAGGGCAGGCTGAGCCAGCCACAAAAAATAAATATATAAATAGAAAGAAATAGTCTTATGACTGAGATCTGTGTAAAGGAGAATGGAGACTACTTGTTTACTAGGATGAAACTCCTTCACAGTAGTCTAGACAATGCTTGACTGGACAGGTGCTGATCAGCAGACAGGACACAACAAAGGAAGCATTCTAGTGGAAGGGAAACATGAGTGCTTACCTCTGTCTGCCCAGGCTTCACAGTTGCATGACAAGCAATCATGAGCGAGCTGTTAGGAAAGGGCCAGTGCTGAGATGCAGAGAACTGCATGTTTTCCACCTCCAGTCCCACCTCTTCTGCAACTTCCCGCCTGACAGCCTCTTCCATATTCTCACCTATAAGTATTTAGATTATTTTAGGACAGCAGGGAGCAGAAAGGGTGTATCTGTATTATGGCAGCACATCTGTAAATGGAATATAAAACTTGGGGAGTCCTAACTCTAATGAGTCTTTCCAGCAATAGGAATCAAGTAGTGCTGGACATCAGATTGAGTGTGGAAGCCTAATGGCTTAGTTATGATGCACAGGAAAGGTGGCTGTGGGAGAGGATTCTGCTTCCCTCAGCTACAAATTTCTCTTTTCATCATTTGTAGATTTGATCCCAATAAACTAAAAAAATACATCAAAACAAAAAACTAAATATGCAACTTTAGTGTAATGCATGCTGAAATATTTAGAAGTATATTGTTTTCAATCTGTACCTCAAAAAATAAGATGATAAACAGATGAAAAATATTGATCAAGTTAGTGTGAAAATTATAGAATTTAAGTGGCTATGTGTATGGAGGTTCACTGCATAATTTTTCCAACTATGCTATATATTTGAAATTATATCTAATGTAATATTGGGAAATAATGCCAGAATGTAGTATTCTTGACATGAGCCACAAGAATGTGCTTGAGATGTCAAGCACCATGGCAACAAGACAGAAATACTATTAATAACATTTTCTATCCTCCACTATCAGCCATATATACTGTGTAATACTTACCTATGTCACAAAAGCCTGCCAAGGCAGAGTACATTCCCTTGGGAAAGGAACTCTGGCGGGCAAGCAGGCACCGGGTCCCATCTGACACCAGAGTGATCACAACAGGAGCCATCTAGAAAAGGAGAATGGAAACTGAGACACTGTCACTTCAGGGCCTCCCAGTGGACCAGAGGAATGGATAATTAAGGAAGCCCTTCAGTTTCACAGGCTTCCTTCCCCATAACATACAAGTGCACTTTTCAGCTTACTGAGCTTGTACAGCAGCTCTTACCTGTGGGTAATAGATGATGTTATTGGAAGGACACACGCGCTTGCTGCCAGCGATATTCTTTCTGGTGGGCTGCCCACTTTTGCTGCAGAACTGATGACCATCATGCCACCGGAGAAGAGCCTGAGCCTAGGAATACAAGGATGGGCCTGGTTTCACTTGGAGAACACATGGAGCTTATCCCTAACCCTAACCCTAACCCTAACCCTAACCCAGTCTTACTCTAGTGCTGGCCTAGAATGTGGGCAACTTACAGGGAAAAGCCAGAACCTTTCCATCTCATTCACCTTCAAATGGTTACTCTTTAAGATAAGGAAACTATATGAAAATTCCCTTAACATCAGAAAGCAGGATAAAAGAGGCATTTAAAAAATGCATTATTAATCCTTTAAAATACAATACATATAAAACATGATAAACATCCATGTACTCATAACCTACCTTAAAAATAAAACAGTTCAAATATGAACAATCAAATTTATTCTTCCTAGAGGCTGAGGAGATGGCTCAGTGGAATAAGTGCTTCCCTGGCAAGTGCAAGGGCCTGAGTTCAATCCCCAGTTCCGCAAAAAATAAACCAAACCAAAACAAAACAAAGCAAATTTTATTCTTCCTTAATCTGGCTGGAATATTTTTGCAACTGAAAAAATTTAGAAGTTTTTCTTACAATAGACAAAACACCATAGCAAATAAAATCTAAAGTTGTGATGGTATTCAGTAGTGCAATGTAAAATTATTTCTTATATGAAAAACATGATGATGTTTGTCATAAAAATGTTTACAGGAAAAAAATGTTTACAAGGTTGATAATCATGCCTATTGCAATAGATCTGCATGTCTTCAGGAGAAGACAGTCTTGACAGCTATTCTGCCAAAATAAGGGCAAAACAAGGTAGAATAAGCAATCTTCCTAGGGCTCATTGTCCTTTTGTCAAGATCTTAGGCAGGACTATCCTTTACAAAGAAGAAATTAAATGTTACTCTAGCCTTGTGTATGCACCCATGGATTTATCCATATATACGACTTTACTCAACTTCCTATAGGATTGAGAAGTTTGAATCTACCGTGAACAGCAAAGAGGAATCCATTGAATTCAGCTGAAAGATAGCCTTCCTCAGCTCAATGAAAGATCCCTGGAGCTCTGTCTCCACTTCAGATTTTGGTAAGGAGGCTAGAAAATTGGAAAAAAGAACGAAATTAAACAAATGTCAAACTTTGCCTCAGCCCCTCCCCTTCCCCCGTCTATCTTGTTATAGCCCTGTTTTCCCAAACTTGCCTAAGAAGTCAGCTGAAGAAAATCTATACAGGTTCTCAAGCCCCTATCTGGATATTCTGAAGCAGCAAGTGTGGCATAAGCCCTAGAAATCTTTTTATTTTTTATTTTTTAAAAGTACCAGGTTATTCTTATAGTCAAACCAATTTGGGAAACATTGGAACCATATTTCTCAAGATCTTAAGGGAAGGGGCTGGAGAGATGGCTCAGTGGTCTAAAGCACCTACTTGGAACAAGCTTGGCAAGGCATCAGGGACCGCAGTTCGATCCCCCAGCACCACATGCCAGCCAGCCCCGCCCCCTGGTGGGCTGAGCTGGCCACACACACACACACCTCTCTCTCTCTCTCTCTCTCTCTCTCTCTCTCTCTCTCTCTCTCTCAAATAAATAAAAAAAAATAAAAAAGATCTTAAGGGAAGTTAGAGTATTTGCATTAGCAGCAAACTCTCTCTGAAAAAGAGATGAAGTGGGATCTCTAAACTCCTCTCTGAAGCCCATTCTAGTAGCATTATGTGCACACACACACACCTTCAAGGGTAAAGGAAAGCTGAAGAGGAACCATGAATATAGAGCAAAGTAGTTCCCAAATGTAGGTCTGAGGACCCAGAGTTATAACAAAGAATAATGCCAATTTCTCATGAAATATTTAAGAACTATGAATTATAGTGGTTTGGAGACTAATATCATCTCTAAGAATAGAGAGAAAGTATTTTTTAAAAAAAGCATTAAAATGTCCCTTAGTTTAAATGATGGTAGCAGATATCGTCTTATGTCCTTACTTAAAGAAGTGATAACATTTTTGTATTTGCACAATTTTCTTAGAAATGTCACTATGTGAAATCCCAAAGTCTGAGAATCACTGCTGTCCACTAAAATGATGTTATATGTACCATGTGTGGAAAAGGAGCTATTGAGACCTAGATCCAGAGCAAACCATGCTTCATGCTGTTCAGAGCAACCAATCAGCACAGAATCTTCTATTCTTTGTGCATCCTGTCCAAACTTATGCAGGAGACTTTCTACCTCTAAGAAACAAAAGAGAAATAAATAAGGATTTCAGTTACATTGCCACAGCCATGCTAGATTTACAAGAAATCATCTGTTTCAGCTTAAAGGAAGTAACAAGGAGCCGGGGAGATGGCTCAGTGGAATAAGTGCTTTCCTGGCAAGTGCAAGGGCCTGAGTTCAATCCCCAGTTCAAAAAAAAGGAAGTAACCACTAGCTTCACAGTACCTTTGTGGGACTGGTTACCTCTCAGATATCAAAATAGGCAGATGCTAAAGTTCCTTATATAAATAGTATATTTAGTATATTTGCATATAACCTATATAATCCTCCCATATACTTTTCATCTCTAGATTACTTATAATATGTAATACAATAGAAGTCTGATGTAAGTAGTTGTACCATACTGTTTTTGGATTGATGGCAAGAAAAAAAAATCTGTATATATTCAGTACAGATAGAATTATTTTCCAAATACTTTTGACCTACAGTTGTTTGAGCCTGAGGATATGGAGGCCAGCTAGACTTGGTTTAAGGCAGTGATGGTGAACCTTTTAGAGCTTTAAATGGTATAAGTGGCCTGCTGTGCTACATGTGCCATAGGTTTGCCACAAATGAGCCCTGCAACTCATGAGCTGTATAACACAGATCTATTCACTTAACCTTTCCTGGTATGTCTTCTCAGTAATCTCAGGAATTTAGACCAAAGGAGGAATTTTGTCTGTGTAACTGATCACTCTATAACTGCATCATGGAAGGGACATAACTTTTTGTTCAGAAGATGCACAACAGCTAAGTTCTTAAGGCACTGAAAAAAAATACGTATTACACTTCAACTGGTAGAGGCCAATTCAGTTCTATAGTTACTTTGCAGATTGTTGCTTTGCTGGGTCTGTAAAATGTAAATGCTGTATAGGATGAAAGCTTGTCTTTTCCATGAAAGACTCTTTCATTTGTTCATAATATAACATTGTTAAATGTCTAAATAATATTTAATGCCTTTTAAAACAGAGTCCTTGTATTTTTCTGCATTGCTGGAAATTACTTACCCAAATACTCCAAAATTCGACTCATAAGAAAACCTACCAGCAATGTATATAGTGACTAATTAGATTTATATGCTATATTTATATGTCAACATAAAGCTGAAAATTAATATCTGAATAGCAGATCCCAACCAGGTGTGGTGGCACAAGCTGTAGCCCCAAATATTTAGGAAATCTCAGGCAGGAGGATTGCTTGAGTCTAGGAATACAAGACAAGCCTGAGCAACAAAGTGAGATTCTGTCTTAAAAACACAGAAACTAAACCCCAATGGTTCTCAAAATAAGTTAATTTACTTTAAAATTTGATCCTGGGCTGGCAAGATAGCTCAGCAGACTAAGTGCCTGCTTTGGTAAGCGCAGGGACCAGGGTTCCATCCACCGGACCTGCATGTGGAGCTGGACCTGCCTGCAGGGCTTGCTGAGCCAGGGACAGAGTCCAGGCATGTGTCCCATGCCTGTAATCTGAGCACTGAGGAGGCTGAAAACAGGAGGATCACTGGGAGTCCAAACTGCATAGCAAGACCAAATACACAAATGAAAAAAAAAAAGTTGATCTCCTTCGGGCTGGAGATAGCTCAGCAGCACAGAGCCTGCGTGGCAAGTGTAAGGTCCACAGTTTTATTCCCTATGAGGACCAAAAAAGAAAAATTGATGCTCTAGTAGAAAGCAAGTTAGGATGCAAATCTAACACTCTTCTCCGGTAAAACCGTGTGTACCTCTATGGAGGCTGGAAATCACTAGTTTAGAGTACCAGTTGGCAGATTTTCTCTATAAAGAGACAGGGAACTTCCGCCACGCCTTGGGGCTCCATATCCAACCAACCCCAGGCCCTGCGAGTGTGGCAGAGAGCTTCTGCTCTGTCCTGTGCCTGCCCGCCGCTCCAAGCCCAGGCCCACCGCATGAGAGGCCTTTCCCCGTGGGTTTTCCAGACCTCCCCTACCCGGGCAGACCCAGCACAGCCCACCCTCTGAATGAGAACTTCCACCACGCTCTTGGGAGTCCTGCAGACCTACCAAAGCACAGCCCTGGTGAGTATGTGGGAGAGCTTCTGCACTCTCTTGCCCCTGCTCCTCATACCCCTCCAGACCCAGCCCAGACCTGGCATAAAGGCTTGGGGTAAAACCCTGCAGCTAAGATCCCTGCAGTGAGACTAGGCTCAAAACCACACAGCTAATCCAGGAACAGAACATCTTACCAGAAGAGTACAGCAGGCCCACCTCCAAGGGCAACAACAACGAGCTGAGCACAGTAGCCAGACCCAAGCCAGGCACAACTGCATGAACTACAACTTAGTATATCAGAACCCGAATTTCATTAAGTGATAAGGATATAATTGCACCAAAACTCTACACCAAAGGTCAGAGGTCAGTGCTATACAAAATGATAAAGACAAGGAGCAAAATGCAATGTTAGGCCTTGAGCCCACCCATAACAAGTGCAGAGGACACTAGCTCAGCTGAAATAAATGAATCAATAGTGTTGGTAGTGAATAAACAACAGCAGAAAGCTATAGAGGAACTCAGAGCAGAATTAAATTCTGGTACCAAAAAAAAGAAAACTCTGAATTCATAGCATCTGATCTTAAGAATCAAATGCAGAAACATATGGAGGAAACACAATGCCCACCCAGAACAAATGCAGTGGACACTAGCTTACCTGAAATATATGAATTAGTAGTGTTGGAAGTAAATAAGTAAATGCAGAAAGGCTTAAAGGAACTCAAAGCAGAATTAGTGTCTGAAATGAAGAAAGAAATCTCTGATTTCATTGCACTGAACTAAAGAATCAAATACAGAAACATATGGAGGAAACCCAATCTGTAAAAAACTCTGCAGTAAAAGAATTAATAACTGCTTCTAAAGAAGACACTGATAAAAAAAAAATACAGGAGATTTAAAAAATGATGGATTTCTTTTCTTTTCTTTCTTTTTTTTTTTCTTTTGCGGAACCGGGGATTGAACTCGGGCCCTTGTGCTTGCCAGGGAAGTGCTTATTCCACTGAGCCATCTCCCTGCCCTCTGATGGATTTCTTGAATGAAAAATACAGGAAAGAAATAAATGGCATAAAGCAGAGTCAAAGAGATGTAGAGGAACTTAAAATCTCAACCACAAGCCTGCAAAACCATTTGAGTGAAAGTGAAGATAGAGTTTCAGATCTTGAAGATGCTGGTGCAGCTAGTGAAAAGGTAAGAAAAGATCTTTTAAAAACAACTAGGATGCAGGAAAAAATAATTCATCACCTGCAAGACGATGCAAAGATGAACAATGTGAGACTTATATGCATCAATGAGAAAGAAGGAGTCAATACAAATGATATAAAAAGAATATAGGCAGAAGTAATAGCAGAAAACGTCCCAAATATGAGGAAACAATCTGATATTCAGGTAACCAAAGCATACAGAACTCCAAAAACTTCAACCCAATTAAAAACACACTGAGGGGCTGGTGAGATGGCTCAGTGGTCTAAAGCACCTACTTAGAACAAGCTTAGCAAAGCACAGGGACTGTGGTTCAATCCCCCAGCACCACATGCCAGTCAGCCCCGCCCCCTGGTGGGCTGAGCTGGCCACACACACACACACACACACACATAAATAAATAAAATTTAAAAAAAAACACACTGAGACATATAATAGTCAAGATCCCAGAAATCCAATACAAGAATATCATACTGAAAGCTGCTAGAGAAAAGAAGCAGATCACATTCAAAGGAAAACCCATCAGAATTCCGGCCAACTTCTCTTCACAACCCATGAAGGCAAGGAGAGCATGGAGCAGAATTCTTCAAGTCCTCTATGAAAACAAATTCCAGCCCAGACTACTATACCCTGCAAAACTGTTTCAAGTTTGATGGAGAAGTGAAATACTTTCATGACAAAGAATTTCATGATGGCAAAGCCAACCCTACACAGACTACTGAAAGATGTTCTAGAGAGGGACCAAAATGATCAGAACTCCACCAATGAGAACAGAAGGAACCCACTAAATAGGACAAACAATTAAACACAAGAGAAAAAAGAGTTAAAAAAAACAGCATTTAAATAACATGTCAATTGTAAGTCAACACATCTCAATTATAACCATCAATGTAAATGGACTCAATTCACCAATTAAAGAGAAATAGATTGCAACAGTGGATTAGGAAACAAAACTCAACAATAAGTTGTATACAAGAAACACATTTAACTGATAAAGAAACTCATAGCCTGAAAGTCAAAGGATGGAAAACAATACTACATGCCCCAGCACTTCAGAAAAAAGCAGGGTAGCAATATTATTCTCAGACAGTCTCAACTTCAAACCAAGAACGATCAAATGAAATAAAGAAGGCCACTATATACTAGTTAGGGGAAAAATTCAACAGGAAGAAATAATACTCATAAATAAGTATGCACCAAACATGGGAGCACCCAACTATATAAGACAAACCTCAATGGACATGAAAAATCTAATATCCAATACAACAATCTTAACAGGAGACCTTAACACCCCCTTATCCCAAAAAGATAGATTGACCAGACAAAAATTAGCAAAGAAGTAGGAGAACTGAACCAGAGCTTGGAACAAATGGTCTTGGTAGATATATACAGAGTGTTCCACCCAACTACAGTGGAATACACATTTTTTTAAGTTGCACATGCCATTTTCTAAAATAGACCACATACTAGTACATAGGTCATACTTAAGTATATGCAAGAAAACAGAAATTATCCCATGCATATTATCTGACCACAATGCAATGAAACTGGAAATAAATGACAAAAGAAACCAGAAAAAAACCCTAAGTACATGGAAATTAAACAACACCCTACTCAGAAATCAATGGGTTACAGATGAAATTAAACAAGAAATCCAACAATATCTACAATTCAATGAAAATTCATCCACA